GGGATGCTAGTATAGCAGGAAACCCAAATTATTCCACACTTCCATCTGGAGGATGGGAAAGGCTCAGGGGCAAGGAGTCAGCTGTAAGCCAGGGCCCATGACTATATAATATCCATGAAAATACAGCAGGGGAGTGATGCCAAGGTCGAACTGAAGCTTTAAAGGTCAATAGGGACCTCATATTCTGGATTTGTGGCTTGGGATAGTATACCAGCAAATATTCTCACACCTATACAACATCACAAACTGGAAATAGAACGAGAAGTCCCTTTCCACTTACAACACTACAGTTGAGATCCTTCTATCAAGAAACGGAACATGCAGGCAGCGGTGGCACGTGCCTTTAATCTCAGCACTTGGGAGGCAGAGGCTGACGCATCTCTCTAAATTCTAGATCAGTCTGGTCTACAAGAGCGAGTTCCAGGACAGGCTCCAAAGCCACAGAGAGACCCTGTCTCAAAAAAAAAAAAAAAAAAAAAAAAAAGAAAAAGAAAAGAAAACAAAGAAACTACATATGCTTACTGTTGTTTCTGAGAATGTGTTGGAGGGTATAATTGAAGCCAAGGAGCAATGTATGATTCCTGGCCATTTATTCTTGACTAGTTAGCTTCCATATTCACCTAACACACATATTCAAATGCCTTTGTGCCAAAACAATCCTATCATTCCACCTAATTAACTATAAAGACTCTTCCTGTTAAGGTTCTCACTCCTCCAAGATTTGATGACTCGGGAGTCTCAAGCCCACTGCAGCCATTGGGGTCTTCTCAAATTCAGTCAGGCTACCAGTGAATATACTGTTATGGAAATAATAAATAACAAAGCTAACCAGCAATAAACTTGTTTATAAACTCAGAAATAGGAAAGACAATACTAAAAGTGATAGGCATGCAGACAACTGATATATAAAATAAATAGGAATATGGAAAGTAACTATAATCCTGATTTTTCTAATTAATGTTATAATGTAAGTGTTTTAGTTACCTACTATTATCTTTCTCTGTTACTCAGAGGGGAAAACAATCTCAGCAGCATTGAGTTCTTAACATGACACTAATGATCCAAACTGTACTTTATCAGTCTAAGCCACTCCACCTTTGTGGTGGGTTTCCTTCACTTCTACTGGACATGTATGGTTGGACATGTATGGTAGGTAGAGTAGCATACAAACATCCTCATCCTAATCACTGGTAGCAAATGTTACAAGCAGTTTCTGACATGAAAACAGTGCTATCATGGGTCATCTGAATGGAACCAGTCTAGGCAGAATGATTTTTAAAAGTGGAAAACAAAAACAGAAAAAGAACCAGCCGTTTCATTGTGAAAAACTCAGCCCAACATTGCCAGCTTTGAAGAATTAGAAAACGAGGCTAAGTACCAAAGACTGTACAAGACAGAACATGATAAACTCTGTCCTTTGAACATCAAAGATAGCAGCTTTGCTGACAACTTGGTTCCAGACTTCTGATAGCAAACCTGGACTCCTAATTTCTAAAATGAAAATGTAATATAATTTGTGTTGTCTTAGGCTCTTGTGTTAACCTGTCATAAATTAAACAGAAAAGAAAATAACTCAGCAACATGGTTTTGCTCCTGGGATTACCTGGAAATACGACCCATAAATTAGGAAAACTGCTTACATCTGTGATAAACAATAACCACTGGGTCATGATTACATTTTTTGATATTTTATTTGAAACAACACACAGGCAGTATACAAACTAAACGTGACCTGAGAGTTTCTGCTCCTCTCTTCCTTGTTCCTACTTTAACAGCCATATATTTGTAAGTGCCACATGCTAAAACACACTCTTTTGTATACAAACTCCCTACCCAAAAAACATCCCTCAATCTCAAACTAAAGGTTAATCTTTTGTACCTTTTAAAACTATAAGGCTAATCTTTTGTACCTTGTAAAACAATTATTCGGCCAGGTGTTATGATGCATGCCTTCAATCCCAGCACTTGGAAGGCAGTATGACCCTGTCTCAAAAGAAAAAATAAACAAAAACCAAAAAAAATCTCCTACACCAATCCCAACTCCTTCACTTGCACTGTTCTAAAGTCTGTATGTAAATGGGCTCAGAATTAACTAAAGGTCAAAAGACGAATTCAGAAGCCCAACTCTTGGGAGTTTCCCTCTCTACATGAAACTCCCAACATTATCCTCAACTGTCTCAGTATTAGAGAAATTGAATAACAATTCCTCATTCTGTGTGTAATAGCTTTAACTATAAAAGCAATTCAAAAAGGACTCCTAATACCCACATACTTCAGCTACCACCCACTTACTTCAACAAATTCCAGGTCTCCTTTAAACTTCCTACTAGGTTCTATACTACCCTAAAGAAGAGAATCTCAAGCTTTTAAACCTGGTTTTCCCTTAATGACATTATCTAGGCCTGGAGAGATTGCTCAGCAGTTGTGAGCACTGGCTGCTCTTCCAGAAGTCCTGAGTTCAATTCTCAGCACCTAGATGGTGGCTCACAACCAAAATATGAGAACCACTGCCCTCTTCTGATATGCAGAAGATAGAGGGCTCATATATACAAAATATGTAAACAAAAGAGAATTATCTAACTTCCCCAACAGCACTAAATTCTAAGTCACTGCTTTACAGGCCACTAGAAATAACACTAAAAGTCAAACATCTTGGCCTATGCCTTTAATCTTAGCACTTGGGAAGCATAAGCAAGTAGATCTTTGAATTAAAAGTAGCCCTTTCCTATAATAGCAAATGAGACACCACCTCAAAAACAAAACAAAACAAAACAAAAAAAAAACCAAAAACAAAAAAGAACAAAACAAACAAAAACAAAAAAGAGACAAAAAGAAATTAAAAAAACTACCAAATAAAAAGAATTTAAAACCACTATGCTAAAACTATCCCATATACTAGGAGGTAAATTTGTTATTGTCAAAAGTAAGTCTGAAAAGCCATTTTTCTGTGTATGTAACAAAACATAGTAGCACATTCAAGTAATTTACTCTAATACAGGTATAAGGAATTATACTCATTGCTTCAAAGGCAAGAGCAAACATTCCAGAGAACACATGCTTAGGATTAGAAGTATTAAGTCTGATTACTGAGTGTTTACAGAATATCACCACGTTAGGATGCACGTGGCTTTCCCCAGACTTCAGATCATCTTTAGAGACGTTTTTCTCATGTCATATCAAAGCTTGTTAGTGAAGTTAGATTTTTCAGGTCTTGCAAGTAGATTTTAAAGCAGGTATTGTATATTCATTCAAGGAGCAGAATACCATGCTACAAAGATGAAAAAGAAATCCATAATTCCTCTTCTAATGCTGACTGAACAAAACTGTTCAGTTTTGCAGATTAAGTCCTGGTAAACAAAACTCCTTTGATGTGACTCAAGTGCCCTTCTGAGAAGATCAAAATGGTGAAGTGAGCCCAAATCACCAAAATCCAGCAGGTTACTTGGTAGCTGACAAACATAAAAACATGCCAATTCCTTGAGCACAAATGAGCTTCTCCATCCTCAAGATGAAAGTCTGAGGACACCCAGCACGTTTGCCACCAAGGAAAAGGGGGCCTTTAGTGGCTAATGTGAAGGCTTATTTGGTGTCCAGTGTCATCTACATATGCTCCAAGGAGATTCAGAAGTGTATCAGCCACATTCAATACTTACTTCCAGGATTTAGTTGAATACAGTTGGCATGGTCCCAGTACATTTTTACAAAACCAAATCACTGACTACCAAGAGTATTTCTGTGTTTTCACAGGAAAGACATATATAAGAGAAATAAAAAGGCTACAAAAACTTTCTATGTTACAAGCAACTCAAATATATAACATAACTGCAAGAGATATTCTACATATAAAAGCAGTGACCCTAAACCTAATTGAACATTAGAATCTCCAATGGATTTCTGCCCTCTGTCCTAAGTTTGGAGATTAGTAGGTATGCAGAAGAGCCCACATATCCCACCAAGTCCTGTCTTCCTGGTGGTGCTTCATGTCCCACTCTTAAAACCACTGCATTAGAATATAAAAGGCAGAGATTGTAACCTTGCTGCTATTGGACAAGGGAGGAGTCTCAGCTTCTATTCAGGCGCTGATGTGCTTGTGAGTCCATGCTCAGATAGAAGCAGGATAGAAGTGGTGATAGAAGCAGGAGCAGCACTTTTGACGCAAATGAGAATCTGGTAAAGGGAAGCAAGCTTTGAGAAAATATAATTGACCAGATGAAAGAATCTTTTCCTTCTGTCTCATCAGTACTGTGGATGGTGCTGCTGTTTTTGATGAAGTGTTCAAAAGAGGAGCTGAGGCACTGTCACTAGCGCCCAGAAGATTACCAGACACCTTATGCAAGCTATGGCCCTAGAACTAGAAAGGGCTACAGCCTTTAAGCAGTTAACCTGAGCTGTCAACTTCTGTGGAAACAAAATGTTCTTTCTCTTCACTGCAGGCTCCATCAATCAGTGATCACCACTGTAAGAATGCAAGGAGGGGATAGGGACACTAAACAATTTCAAATGGGGAGACAGCAAAATAAAGCACCAGGCTGGGGTAACAATACTGGGTAGACTCGCCTGAACTGTTGGCTGTCTGGATGTGAGCTTTCTCCTTTTGATTATGTAAGAGCTTTTTCATTATAACTTATTATGGTGATCATGCAAGAAAGAAGGCTGAAATGAGAGAAAATGTACCTCTTTTACTGGCATAATGTTTATGATTGCCAAGTAGAATAAGGCATTTTTATCAATATAAAAGCAACCCTGGGTTATGCAACTTCTGTAGTGAATACTGAAGATTTTGCTATCAATAATAAATCTATTTTCTGACAAAAAGTATACAAAAGACGCAGTTCCAATTTTGTATGCCAGAAGAACACTTATTAACATGTGCTATAACTATAGGATTGATGTGGTCAGAGTTAGTAAACAGATTTCTCTGTAATTGTTTGTTGAAATGTTGGTCTGTCCTCGTCCCAGTTTAAGTGAGTGAGGCACTCAGGTAAATAAGTACTATGAGACATATGTCCCTTGTACTACTTCTGTGATTTGTTGCGAGACCGAGTTTCCCTTGCCAAGAGCTCTTCAAAGATCTCATTATGCATGTAAAAGAAGACATATCCAGTGGAAAGCCTAGCCTTACATACAAAGTCCTCTTGTATACTTGCCACCTGTGGATCACTATAAGTGAACCAATCCTGCTTCCTGAAGTCAAAGGCATCATTGATATAGTGGCCTCCGTGGGGACTGCTCCCAATATGGCTGATAATATTAATGAGCCTGTAAGCATTTTCTTCTTTACCAGTATCCCTATGTGATTTCACCTTGCCTGTAGGCTTTGTCTTCTTACCTAAACCATCTTTGTTTCCTGGGCTCTTACTGGAATATTGTGAGCCCTGTGAATTCAGATTGCCATTCTGGGTATGTGACTCTGCAGGTTTCCTGGGGTTTTCTATCTGTTCGTGGGAGCATGGTTTTGGATGGCTTTTAGCAACTGCCTTTCTCGAGATCTGTTTATCACTTCTTTTTTCAGAACATTTTTGAGCCTCTTGGCACGTTTGGCATCTTTCTGGAATTTTGATGTCATTATCTTCAGTAGCCTCACTGATGCTACCAGGGTCTAACTTGCTAAGTAAATTTGCTTTCTCATGTTTCTTGAGTTTTTCTGTCTCGTTTGTTAATTCTGACACAATTACATTTGGTGTGTCATCCTTTCCCTGGTCTTTCTGCTGCACTTTTCCACTCAACACTTTAGAAACTCCCTTTACATTTTGTGCTTCTGACTCCTTGTCTGATCTGGTGTTTACAGTTGGGAAATCCTTGAATCTTGAGGTCATTATTGAATTAAATGGTAATTTCAGTATATCAGAACCCAACTCTTGAAGGGGTTTTAGTAAGTCAACGTCCTTAACATGTGCATTTTGGCTAATGGGATGTGGTGGTTTTGTGTTTTTGTTGCAATGAAAAGATAGCTTTAAATACTTGGAAATAACGATGTGCTGTTCATCCTTTTTTGTCACCTGTGACACACTAAAGCGATAGCGTTTTAGGTGAATAATAATAACTCTAGGGAGGCTGCCAAATTTGTGCAATGCAACAGATTTGTTGTGCATACACCTTTCACATCTATGCTCAAGCTCTTCAGCTTTAAAAAAAAGATCAAAACTGGACTGAATAGACAAGTTCTGTCCTTTCAATCCTTGAGGAATGTTGATGGAGAGATAACTACTCTGTTCTTTCTTGAAAACAGCCTGGCCACAACCTTTACAAAAAATAGATCTCATCAAGTCAAATTCAAAATTACTGGCAACGGGACAAACGGGAATTTTGTTGATAATAGCATGGTCAGCAAAAATCCGTCTAAGTAAACTATTTCCTCCAGATTCATTTTCAGATTGCCACAATACGGATAATTTCTGTACAGTTTCCTTCAGCTGAACTAAACAGAGACTTAAAAACTCATGAGCATCATTCTGTGTGTCAGCAGTGAAAACCTGTCCAAGTTCTGAGAGGGCTTTGGTAATACTTAAAAGCAACGTCTCCCTAGTCTTCATGTTGTAAATATCTTTGAAAACAAGCAGTTGCATCAAGCACATGTTAAAATCATCTCTGGGAGGTTTAATCCACGGGAAGCCCTGATTGAATAAATCATTAACAAACAGTGGAACGGAGCATAGAGACTGTAATACTACATTTATATAACAGGTGTTTCCCACGTTAGGCAGACCTTGCCATGCTTTCTCTGGGTACAGTAAGAGTGACTTCACATACTCGTGCCACTCTATGCCCTTCTCCACACAGTGTAGTTCCAACAGGAACGGTGAAAACAATTTTGTAATAAGATCATGAAGATCACGGGCATCTGAATCAGACTCTCCAGGATAGTTGGTCTCAGACGAAATTCCGAATCCTGGTTTACTCTTTTCTGTCTTTCTTACATCCCTCTCTTTCCCTTTATCATCATGCACAGGTACCACTGACTTTGCCTCGAATCCTTTACTACTGCCCTTCTGCATATTTCCTTTTTGCTTCTTTCCTGCATCAGGTGAGGATCTTTTCCTCTTTACAAGTTGTTTTTCTAATAAGCCTATATTATTAAGTGTGGCTGATGAGGATGAAGACAAAGGCACCTCACAAAGCACTGATGTTTCACTTTCTTTGGCTGACTCCAAGCATTTACTACCTGCTTCTGAATGAAGTTCCAGTGATGAGGAGCCACCCAACTCCTCTCTGCTTGTGCTGGGACCACCAGATGTCTCCTCCTCATTTCTCCTGGATGCCCGAAGATTTCTTTGATAGACTTTGTCTAGGAATCTCTTCAGTTGTCTGGCATTTGTGGTGGTTAGTTTCTCAACAAACAAGAAATCATTATTTTTGAAAGTTAAATGTAGGTAATTCTGGTCTTCGCCATAGGTTCTAAGGATCACACTTTTAATATTATTGTTTACCTGCAAAGCTTTAATCTTGCCAGTGCTGAAATAGAGCAGAAGTTTAACTTCCCGTTTTCCTACCGATGATTCAATGCATACACTTCTGGACTTTGACATTCCTGCCTTTGCACTCCACATTTGGACTTGAGCATGCATCAATATAGGATCCATACTTTTTCTTAGCATATAAAACACAGGTATCTTAGACTACTAACAATCCTGTAGTTTCAATTGCTTCCCAAGTTTACCTAAGGAGACAACAAAGACATAGTACATTACTTTCTATAAACAATGACTATTTCTAATGTTGGCTCTATATTAAAAATTCTTCATGTTCTCTTTATCCATCTAACCCTTTAGTAATTAACCAATATGTTTGAAGAAAAACCTATGGTTCTAAGAAGACAAAAATCTTGGTTAACAATGCAAGACCATGATTTTTAAAAATATCCAAGGGAAAGTACTTTCAATTATGAGGTAAATATTTATATAAAATCAAAATTCCTTTCTACCACATTAAATTCTATTCTGATCAATTTTATCTTACCAATGAAAATAATCAAACTCTTAGAAGACTTTTAAGGCATAGCTGAAGAGCATAGTTAACAGTATTTTGGGTATATACATATACAGAATGAGCTCACATGACAACTAAAATAAATGTCTAAGCAAAAAGGAGCACTATATACCCCTTGTCTCCATTGCAAATGACTATCCCTTGATGTGTATAGGAATTCACATATAGGATACTCAGAGTAAATCTATCTACCTCATTCTAAATCCAGTTAGATCATCTTCTTTCACTTAGCATTGAGAAACAACCATACACTTAACCTCCACTGAAAAAGATGAAGAATAACAACTTCACAACCATCAAATATAGGATAGAATGATTTCTGTATCCAAGTCTGCCAGTTTACCCAAGTTACCTAACAACTCTGTACAATAAAGAAACTTCTGGAGGCATCATCATCCCTGACTATAAGTTCTATTATAGAGCTATAGTCCTGAAAATAGCTTGGTATTGGTGCAAAAATAGATGGGTAGACTAAATGGAATAAAATTGAAAGCCCTGATATTAACCCACACACCTAAAAACAGCTGATTTTGACAAAGCAGCTAAGATTATACAACGGAAAAAAAGAAAGCATCTTCAACAAATGGTGTTGGCATAACTGGATGCTGGCATGTAGGAGACTGCAGATAGTTCCATATTTGTCACCATGCACAAAACATGAAGTCCGAATGGATCAAAGACCTCATCATAAATCCAAACACACTGAACCTCCTAGAAGAGAAAGTAGGAGGTACCCTTGAATGAATTGGTATAGGAGACTGCTTCCTGAACATATCACCAGTAGCAAAGACAATGAGATCAACAATTAACAAATAGGAACTCTTCAAACTGAGAAGCTTCTGTAAGGCAAAGGACTCAGTGGACAAGACCAAATGGCAGCCCACATACTGGGAAAAGATTTCTACCAATCCTACATCTGACAGAGGGCTGATCTCCAAATTAAATAAAGAACTCAAAAAGCTAGTCTCCAAAACACCAAATAATCCAATTAAAAAGTGAGGTACAGAACTGAATAGAGAATTCTCAATAGAGGAATCCAAAAAGGCTGAAAGACACTTAAGAAAGTGCTCAACATCCTTAGCTATCAGGGAAATGCAAAATCAAAACAACTTTGAGATAACATCTTAACCCTCCAGGATGGCCAAAATTAGAAACACCAATAACAACTTATGCTGGAGAGGATGTGGAGAAAGAGGAACACTCCTCCACTGCTTGTGGGAGTGCAAACTTGTATAGCCATTTTGGAGATCAGTATGGCGGTTCTTCAGGAAAATGGAATCAGTCTCCCACAGGACCTGACAATCCCACTCTTAGGCATATACCCAAATGATCCACATCCATGCAACAAAGACATCAGTTCAACTATGTTCATAGCAGCACTATTTGTATTTCCTTGAAGTTTTATTTACATTTCATTCCCAAATAAAGGAAACATCTTTAAGCTCAGTAAGTGTGATAAGCAAAGACAAGGACCATCTATGCTGACAGAAAGATGAGCTGTCTAACCACTACCTTCTCTTCAGCACATTCCAAACTTAAATTCTCTTTTTCATTCCATCTCATTAGTCAAAGCTGTTGAAGCTTCCTTTGGATATATTTAAAAGATCTTAAACTAAAGAGTATTGATTCCCCCAAGAACAACTATGTGAGTATTCTATGCAGATGAAAGGAAGCTTCACTACAAACGATACTCGCACAATATATTAGGCTAGCTGAAGCTTTCAAAACATTGCCAGAAACTCACAAAACAGTGCTACTTCGGTCAGATTTGGAGGAATGACCTATGATATCAAGAAGTTGGCCATGGGCCGGATGGTGGCACACACCTTTAATGGCAGCACTTGGGAGGCAGAGGCAGGTGGATCTCTGTGAGTTCAAGGCCAGTCTGGTCTACATAGGGAGTTCCAAGACAGGTTCCAAAGCTACACAGAAAAACCCTGTCTCAAAAAACAAAGAAACAAAAAAAGAAGTTGGCCATGAGCTTAAAAAACAAATACTTCCAGTAGAAATGTCTGCATCATTGGTAATTTACTAGTTCAGCACACATTGGTCTTTCTTCTGGTATTTATTGAGCTAGTTTTACATTATGATATCCTGAGCATATATTCAAATGCTGGGCACAGCGATCATTTCTCTAAGAACACAAAGAATGTAAATATTCAATGGACATGAACAAATTAAATTAAACCACCAGTATGCAGAAGTAACAAATGAAGTGCAGTTTCCTTTCAATGAGAACAAAGGATCTAGGGAAATACTTCTTTGGTATTACTTTTAGGACTTGACACAACACATACCCATGGTGGAATGTGTGTGTGAGTGTGTGAGTGTGTGTGTGTGTGTGTGTGTGTGTGTGTGTATGAAAGGAAGTGGATAGAATTATTTTCTTTTGGGTGTTCTGGTAAAGTGGTTATGTTTTAAGATAGCCAACAGCTGTATCTTGATACAAAGGGATTTACAAGCTAGGTATAGTGGCTTATGCTTATAACCATTGCATTTGGGAGACTGAGGCAGAAGGATTGCGGTATGTTCAAGGCCATCCTTTGCTACCTCGTCAGTTTCAGGCTTGCCTGGGATACCGAGTAACATTCTGTGTCTGAATCTCCAAGATTAAAACGAAGGGTGCCACAGTCTGGAGGCAGATACACAAATTCTAGAAAGTTGTTTCGACACAATGGCTATGAAACAGCGCTATTGTCAGTCCCTCTTCAATTACATAACTGTGATCATGTGTAATAACATCAAGTTCTTGTTTCTCTCCTTAAGTTAATGTATAGCAGTTGGTCTGGCAGACATGTTGGTTAATTAATTTTTTCCAGCCTGATACGTTTCCCCTTTCTCCCTCTTCTCTCCCTGCGTCTGCCCCTCCCCCATGCACTCATCCTTTATCTTCAGAAAAGTACAGGCCTATCCAGCCATGGCATATCAAGTCCCATGCAGTCTCTGTTGGTTCAGCCTCTGTGAGTCCCTATGAGCCCAGGTTTGTTGTTTCTATGGTGTCCTAGAGCCCTGGCTCCCACAATCCTTCCTTCTCCCCTCCTCCACAGGCTTCCCTGAGGTCTGCCTAATGTTTTTCTGTAACTCTCTGGATCTATAATCCATCAACTGCTATGTAAAGCCTCTCTGATGACAAACAGAAGGGATCAGGTGGAAGGATGATAGAGGGAGAAGAGTACTGGGAGAGACAAACGGAATCAGGGCCATCTGCGGGACAGCTAGAGACCTAGTGCAATATAAACTCTCAGGCATCTATGAGGGTGATCCTAGCTAAGAACCCTGGCAATGGGAGACACAGAGTCTGAACCGGCCATCTCCTGTGACCAGGCAAGACTTACAGTGGAGGGAGTGGAACCCTAGCCCAGCAACATAATCTCTGACCTACAATTTGCTCTGCCTACCTTCCTACAAGATATGCTGGAATAAAGATGGCACAGAAATTATGGGAGTGGCCAGCCAATGACTGGTGCAGCTTGAGACCCACACCATGAGAGGGAGCCCAAATCTGACTCTGCCTGGAGGACCAGAACCCAGAGACTGGATAACCCAGAGACCTAGGATAGAACTAAACATGACTGTCAATGAAAAAAAAGTCCATTAAAAAGTCCTTAAAATGATGCCTAATGGTATTCTGCTATACTCATAGATTGTTGCCTAGACCAATTGTCATCAGAGATGATAAGTTTTAATTAGCTTATGTCACAATCTTTTTCTTTTGCCACGCTGGGAATTGAACTTAGGACCTTACAAATGCCAACCATGTGTTCTATCACTAAGATATACTCCCGGCCCTCAGAATGCTCAGAAAATATTCGAGATGAGAGGCAAAAGATAGAGTTAGTATATATTAAGAAGCTGCTTAGTTACCTCACTAGATAAGAAACTATGAAGGTAGTAGTGACCTACCCATGCATGCAATGAGTGGAAATGATAAAATCAGGTATGTTCCGCTGAAGCTTATAATAAAGTTCTGGCCATTTCTAATGAGCCCAAGCAAAACCGCTGAAAAATGAAAACAACTTCAATTTACATTTATTTTTAAATTATGAGTGTCTTAGTGGGCTTAGGAAAGGCCAGTGGCATTATCAGAGTCTGTTAAGTGTACTGAAAAAAATCATCATCAAAGCTGTCTTTGAGGACTCCATTCTATAAAACTTTGACTCCAGGTACAATATAATTAATGAGCAAGTAGAACTAATAAAGTACATTAGATTTCCCAATATATTCCAAATAAAAGACTTCCTCCAATAATTGCTTAGTGTGCCTTGAAATGTGACCATGAATCGTATGTGAATATACTGGGTTTGGGGAACAAGAAAGGCCATTCCCAAAAGTCCACGAGCAAAAGTGACTATACATTCATTCAGCCACTCGTTCATTAAACAAATACAGCAAGGAATACCGGAAAGCACTGTATAATTGTGGGTATACAATATTGTAAGGAAATACATAGTCCAGGCTCTTACAAAACATTCACTGTAGCAGAGTTGGAAATTTACATATAGGGTAGGTATATACCTCAATAGTTGAGTGTTTGTCTAATATATGCAAGGCTTAGTGTGGGTTCTGTACCCAGCACCTAAAAAATATACATGTA